CTGGTGGTGGGTCAAATACATGTAGGCGGGTCCGCTTCATGGTGGCGGCTCCGCTACCTGGTGGCGGGTCCGCTACCTGTAGGCGTGTCAGCTAACTGGTGGTGGGTCAACTACATGTAGGCGGGTCCGCTTCCTGGTGGCGGGTCCGCTACCTGGTGGCGGGTCCGCTACCTCCGTGGAGCTGTGTCGCTGTTGAATTTCGTATTGAATGTGAATCATTGTCTTTCAGCAAAACAAGACTGACAGCGGTGGGATTCGAACCCACGCCTCCGAAGAGACTGGAGCCTTAATCCAGCGCCTTAGACTGCTCGGCCACGCTATCGTGTAGCACAGCCTGCCCACTGACCTGCCGCAGTGGCAGGTCAGCTACCTCAGCTACCTGTAGCTGGGGCAGCTACATGTAGGCGGGTGAGCTACCTGGTGGCGGATCCACTTCCTGGTGGCGGGTCAACTACCTGTAGGCAGGGTGTCCTCCGTGGACACCGCCATGTCGCTGTTGAATTTCGTATTGAATGTGAATTATTGTCTTTCAGCAAAACCCTTTTGACAGCGGTGGGATTCGAACCCACGCCTTTGAAGTGACTGGGGCCTTAATCCAGCACCTTACACCGCTCGGCCACGCTGTCACGTAGCACAGCCCACCCCCTGACCTGCCGCAGGTCAGCTACCTGTAAGCGGATGCGCTACCTGGTGGCGGGTCAGCTACCTGTAGGCAGGGTGTCCTCCATGGAGCTCTGTCGCTGTTGACTATCGTATTGAATGTGAATTATTGTCTTTCAACAAGACCGTAGTGACAGCGGTGGGATTCGAACCCACGCCTCCGAAGAGACTGGAGCCTTAATCCAGCGCCTTAGACCACTCGGCCACGCTATCGTGTAGCACAGCCCGCCCACTGACCTGCCGCAGTGGCAGGTCAGCTACCTCAGCTACCTGTAGGTGAGTCAGCTACATGTAGGCAGGTCAGCTACCTTGTGGCGGGTCAGCTACATGTAGGCGGGTCAGCTTCCTGGTGCGGTACCTGGTGGCGGGTCAGCTACCTGTAGGCGGGCCCACTTCCTGCGGGCAGGTCAGCTAGGAGACACACGGTGGCAGGTCAACTACATGTAGGCGGGTCCGCTTCCTGGTGGCGGGTCAACTACCTGTAGGCAGGGTGTCCTCCGTGTACACCGCCGTTGAATTTCGTATTGAATGTGAATTATTGTCTTTCAGCAAAACCCTTTTGACAGTGGTGGGATTCGAACCCACGCCTTTGAAGTGACTGGCGCCTTAATCCAGCACCTTAGACCGCTCGGCCACGCTGTCATGTAGCACAGCCGACCCGCTGACCTGCCGCAGGTCAGCTACCTGTCAGCAGGTCAGCTACCTGTAGGCAGGGTGTCCTCCATGGAGCTCTGTCGCTGTTGACTATGGTATTGAATGTGAATTATTGTCTTTCAACATGACCGCACTGACAGCGGTGGGATTCGAACCCACGCCTCCGAAGAGACAGCAGCACGCTATCGTGTAGCACAGCACGCCCACTGACCTGCTGCAGTGGCAGGTCAGCTACCTCAGCTACATGTAGGCGGGTCAGCTACTTGGTGGGAGGTCAGCTACCTGTAGGCGGGTCAGCTAACCGGGTCCACTTCCTGCCCCCAGGAAGTGGACCCGCCTACAGGTAGCTGACCCGCCACCAGGTAACGAACCAGGAAGCTGACCCGCCTACATGTAGCTGACCCACCTGTAGGCAGGGTGTCCTCTGTGGAGCCGTGTCGCTGTTGAATTTCGTATTGAATGTGAATCTTTGTCTTTCAGCAAAACAAGAGTGACAACGGTGGGATTCGAACCCACGCCTCTGAAGTGACTGGCGCCTTAATCCAGCGCCTTACACCGCTCGGTGCCGCAGTGGCAGGTCAGCTACATGTAGGCAGGGTGTCTTCCGTGGAGCTCTGTCGCTGTTGACTATGGTATTGAATGTGAATTATTGTCTTTCAACAAGACCGTACTGACAGTGTTGGGATTCGAACCCACGCCTCCGAAGAGACTGGAGCCTTAATCCAGCGCCTTAGACCGCTCGGCCACGCTATCGTGTAGCACAGCCCGCCCACTGACCTGCCGCAGTGGCAGGTCAGCTACCTCAGCTACCTGTAGCTGGGGCAGCTACATGTAGGCGGGTCAGCTAATTGGTGGGAGGTCAGCTACCTGTAGGCAGATGCGCTTCCTGGTGGCGGGTCAACTACCTGTAGGCAAGGTGTCCTCCGTGGAGCCGTGTCGCTGTTGAATTTCGTATTGAATGTGAGTTATTTTCTTTCAGCAAAACCGTTCTGACAGCGGTGGGATTCGAACCCACGCCTCCGAAGAGACTGGAGCCTTAATCCAGCGCCTTAGACCGCTCGGCCACGCTATCGTGTACCATAGGCCGCCCGCAGACCTGCCGCAGTGGCAGGTCAGCTACCTCAGCTACCTGTAGGTGAGTCAGCTACATGTAGGCAGGTCAGTTACCTGGTGGCGGATCAGCTACATGTAGGCGGGTCAGCTTCCTGGTGCGGTACCTGGTGGCGGGTCAGCTACCTGTAGGCGGGTCCACTTCCTGCGGGCAGGTCAGCTACCTGGTGGCGGGTCAACTACATGTAGGCGGGTCCGCTCAGGTAGCTGACCCGCCACCAGGTAGCGCACCAGGAAGCTGACCCGCCTACATGTAGCTGACCCACCTGTAGGCAGGGTGTCCTCTGTGGAGCCCTGTCGCTGTTGAATTTCGTATTGAATGTGAATCATTATCTTTCTGCAAAACAAGACTGACAGCGGTGGGATTCGAACCCACGCCTCCGAAGAGACTGGAGCCTTAATCCAGCGCCTTAGACCGCTCGGCCACGCTATCGTGTAGCACGGCCCGCCCGCTGACCTGCCGCAGTGGCAGGTCAGCTACCTCAGCTACCTGTAGGTGGGTCCGCTTCCTGGTGACAGGTCAACTACCTGTAGGCAGGTCAGCTTCCTGGTGGCGGGTCAACTACCTGTAGGCGGGTCAGCTAACTGGTGGTGGGTCAAGTACATGTAGGCGGGTCCGCTTCATGGTGGCGGGTCCGCTACCTGGTGGCGGGTCCGCTACCTGTAGGCGTGTCAGCTAACTGGTGGTGGGTCAACTACATGTAGGCGGGTCCGCTTCCTGGTGGCGGGTCCGCTACCTGGTGGCGGGTCAACTACCTGTAGGCGAGTCAGCTACCTGGTGACGGGTCAACTACCTGTAGGCAGGGTGTCCTCCGTGGAGCTGTGTCGCTGTTGAATTTCGTATTGAATGTGAATCATTTTCTTTCAGCAAAACAAGAGTGACAACGGTGGGATTCGAACCCACGCCTCTGAAGTGACTGGCGCCTTAATCCAGCGTCTTAGACCGCTCAGTGCCGCAGTGGCAGGTCAGTTACATGTAGGCAGGGTGTCTTCCGTGGAGCTCTGTCGCTGTTGACTATGGCATTGAATGTGAATTATTGTCTTTCACAAGACCGTACTGACAGCGGTGGGATTCGAACCCAGGCCTCCGAAGAGACTGGAGCCTTAATCCAGCGCCTTAGACCGCTCGGCCACGCTTTCGTGTAGCACAGCCTGCCCACTGACCTGCCGCAGTGGCAGGTCAGCTACCTCAGCTACATGTAGGTGGGTCAGCTACTTGGTGGGAGGTCAGCTACCTGTAGGCGGATGCGCTTCCTGGTGGCGGGTCAGCTACCTGTAGGCAAGGTGTCCTCCGTGGAGCCGTGTCGCTGTTGAATTTCGTATTGAATGTGAGTTATTGTCTTTCAGCAAAACCCTTCTGACAGAGGTGGGATTCGAACCCACGCCTCCGAAGAGACTGGAGCCTAAATCCAGCGCCTTAGACCGCTCGGCCACGCTATCGTGTAGCATGGGCCACCCGCTGACCTGCCGCAGTGGCAGGTCAGCTACCTCAGCTACCTGTAGGTGAGTCAGCTACATGTAGGCAGGTCAGCTACCTGGTGGCGGGTCAGCTACATGTAGGCGGGTCAGCTTCCTGGTGCGGTACCTGGTGGCGGGTCAGCTACCTGTAGGCGGGCCCACTTCCTGCGGGCAGGTCAGCTACCTGGTGGCAGGTCAACTACATGTAGGCGGGTCCGCTTCCTGGTGGCGGGTCAACTACCTGTAGGCAGGGTGTCCTCCGTGTACACCGCCGTTGAATTTCGTATTGAATGTGAATTATTGTCTTTCAGCAAAACCCTTTTGACAGTGGTGGGATTCGAACCCACGCCTTTGAAGTGACTGGCGCCTTATTCCAGCACCTTAGACCGCTCGGCCACGCTGTCATGTAGCACAGCCGACCCGCTGACCTGCCGCAGGTCAGCTACCTGTCAGCTACCTGTCAGCAGGTCAGCTACCTGTAGGCAGGGTGTCCTCCATGGAGCTCTGTCGCTGTTGACTATGGTATTGAATGTGAATTATTGTCTTTCAACATGACCGCACTGACAGCGGTGGGATTCGAACCCACGCCACCGAAGAGACAGCAGCCTTAATCCAGCGCCTTAGACCGCTCGGCCACGCTATCGTGTAGCAGAGCCCGCCCACTGACCTGCCGCAGTGGCAGGTCAGCTACCTCAGCTACCTGTAGCTGGGGCAGCTACATGTAGGTGGGTCAGCTACTTGGTGGGAGGTCAGCTACCTGTAGGCGGATGTGCTTCCTGGTGGCGGGTCAGCTACCTGGTGGCGGGTCAACTACCTGTAGGCAAGGTGTCCTCCGTGGAGCCGTGTCGCTGTTGAATTTCGTATTGAATGTGAGTTATTGTCTTTCAGAAAAACCCTTCTGACAGCGGTGGGATTCGAACCAATGCCTCGGAAGAGACTGGAGCCGCTGACCTGCCGCAGTGGGGCAGCTACATGTAGGCGGGTGAGCTACCTGGTGGCGGATGCGCTTCCTGGTGGCCGGTCAGCTACCTGTAGGCAAGGTGTCCTCCGTGGACACCGCCGTGTCGCTGTTGAATTTCGTATTGAATGTGAATTATTGTCTTTCAGCAAAACCCTTTTGACAGTGGTGGGATTCGAACCCACGCCTTTGAAGTGACTGGCGCCTTAATCCAGCACCTTACACCGCTCGGCCAGGCTATCGTGTAGCACAGCCCGCCCGCTGACCTGCCGCAGGTCAGCTACCTGTAAGCGGATGCTTTTCCTGGTGGCGGGTCAGCTACCTGTAGGCAGGGTGTCCTCCACGGAGCTCTGTCGCTGTTCACTATCGTATTGAATGTGAATTATTGTCTTTCAACAAGACCGTACTGACAGCGGTGGGATTCGAACCCACGCCTCCGAAGAGACTGGAGCCTTAATCCAGCGCCTTAGACCGCTCGGCCACGCTATCGTGTAGCACAGCAGGCCCACTGACCTGCTGCAGTGGCAGGTCAGCTACCTCAGCTACATGTAGGCGGGTCAGCTACTTGGTGGGAGGTCAGCTACCTGTAGGCGGGTCAGCTAACCGGGTCCACTTCCTGCCCCCAGGAAGTGGACCCGCCTACAGGTAGCTGACCCGCCACCAGGTAACGAACCAGGAAGCTGACCCGCCTACATGTAGCTGACCCACCTGTAGGCAGGGTGTCCTCTGTGGAGCCATGTCGCTGTTGAATTTCGTATTGAATGTGAATCATTGTCTTTCAGCAAAACAAGACTGACAGCGGTGGGATTCGAACCAAACCAAGAGACTGGAGCCTTAACCCAACGCCTTAGACCGCTCGGCCACGCTATCGTGTAACACGGCCCGCCCGCTGACCTGCCGCAGTGGCAGGTCAACTACCTCAGCTACCTGTAGGCGGGTCCGCTCCCTGGTGGCGGATCCGCTTCCTGGTGGCGGGGGTGTCCTCCGTGGACACCGCCGTGTCGCTGTTGAATTTCGTATTGAATGTGAATTATGGTCTTTCAGCAAAACACTTTTGACAGCGTCGGGATTCGAACCCACGCCTTTGAAGTGACTGGCGCCTTAATCCAGCACCTTACACCGCTCGGCCAGGCTATCGTGTAGCACAGCCCGCCCACTGACCTGCCGCAGTGGCAGGTCAGCTACCTCAGCTACCTGTAGCTGGGGCAGCTACATGTAGGCGGGTCAGCTACTTGGTGGGAGGTCAGCTACCTGTAGGCAGATGCGCTTCCTGGTGGCGGGTCAACTACCTGTAGGCAAGGTGTCCTCCGTGGAGCCGTGTCGCTGTTGAATTTCGTATTGAATGTGAGTTATTTTCTTTCAGCAAAACCGTTCTGACAGCGGTGGGATTCGAACCCACGCCTCCGAAGAGACTGGAGCCTTAATCCAGCGCCTTAGACCGCTCGGCCACGCTATCGTGTACCATAGGCCGCCCGCAGACCTGCCGCAGTGGCAGGTCAGCTACCTCAGCTACCTGTAGGTGAGTCAGCTACATGTAGGCAGGTCAGTTACCTGGTGGCGGATCAGCTACATGTAGGCGGGTCAGCTTCCTGGTGCGGTACCTGGTGGCGGGTCAGCTACCTGTAGGCGGGTCCACTTCCTGCGGGCAGGTCAGCTACCTGGTGGCGGGTCAACTACATGTAGGCGGGTCCGCTCAGGTAGCTGACCCGCCACCAGGTAGCGCACCAGGAAGCTGACCCGCCTACATGTAGCTGACCCACCTGTAGGCAGGGTGTCCTCTGTGGAGCCCTGTCGCTGTTGAATTTCGTATTGAATGTGAATCATTGTCTTTCTGCAAAACAAGACTGACAGCGGTGGGATTCGAACCCACGCCTCCGAAGAGACTGGAGCCTTAATCCAGCGCCTTAGACCGCTCGGCCACGCTATCGTGTAGCACAGCCCGCCCGCTGACCTGCCGCAGTGGCAGGTCAGCTACCTCAGCTACCTGTAGGTGGGTCCGCTTCCTGGTGACAGGTCAACTACCTGTAGGCAGGTCAGCTTCCTGGTGGCGGGTCAACTACCTGTAGGCGGGTCAGCTAACTGGTGGTGGGTCAAGTACATGTAGGCGGGTCCGCTTCATGGTGGCGGGTCCGCTACCTGGTGGCGGGGTCCGCTACCTGTAGGCGTGTCAGCTAACTGGTGGTGGGTCAACTACATGTAGGCGGGTCCGCTTCCTGGTGGCGGGTCCGCTACCTGGTGGCGGGTCAACTACCTGTAGGCGAGTCAGCTACCTGGTGACGGGTCAACTACCTGTAGGCAGGGTGTCCTCCGTGGAGCTGTGTCGCTGTTGAATTTCGTATTGAATGTGAATCATTTTCTTTCAGCAAAACAAGAGTGACAACGGTGGGATTCGAACCCACGCCTCTGAAGTGACTGGCGCCTTAATCCAGCGTCTTAGGACCGCTCAGTGCCGCAGTGGCAGGTCAGTTACATGTAGGCAGGGTGTCTTCCGTGGAGCTCTGTCGCTGTTGACTATGGCATTGAATGTGAATTATTGTCTTTCACAAGACCGTACTGACAGCGGTGGGATTCGAACCCAGGCCTCCGAAGAGACTGGAGCCTTAATCCAGCGCCTTAGACCGCTCGGCCACGCTTTCGTGTAGCACAGCCTGCCCACTGACCTGCCGCAGTGGCAGGTCAGCTACCTCAGCTACATGTAGGCGGTCAGCTACTTGGTGGGAGGTCAGCTACCTGTAGGCAGATGCGCTTCCTGGTGGCGGGTCAGCTACCTGTAGGCAAGGTGTACTCCGTGGAGCCGTGTCGCTGTTGAATTTCGTATTGAATGTGAGTTATTGTCTTTCAGCAAAACCCTTCTGACAGAGGTGGGATTCGAACCCACGCCTCCGAAGAGACTGGAGCCTAAATCCAGCGCCTTAGACCGCTCGGCCACGCTATCGTGTAGCATGGGCCACCCGCTGACCTGCCGCAGTGGCAGGTCAGCTACCTCAGCTACCTGTAGGTGAGTCAGCTACATGTAGGCAGGTCAGCTACCTGGTGGCGGGTCAGCTACATGTAGGCGGGTCAGCTTCCTGGTGCGGTACCTGGTGGCGGGTCAGCTACCTGTAGGTGGGTCCACTTCCTGCGGGCAGGTCAGCTACCTGGTGGCGGGGTCAACTACATGTAGGTGGGTCCACTTCCTGCGGGCAGGTCAGCTACCTGTAGGCAGGGTGTCCTCCGTGGACACCGCCGTGTCGCTGTTGAATTTCGTATTGAATGTGAATTATTGTCTTTCAGCAAAACCCTTTTGACAGCGGTGGGATTCGAACCCACGCCTTTGAAGTGACTGGCGCCTTAATCCAGCACCTTACACCGCTCGGCCAGGCTATCGTGTAGCACAGCACGCCCACTGACCTGCCGCAGGTCAGCTACCTGTAAGCGGACGCGCTTCCTGGTGGCGGGTCAGCTACCTGTAGGCAGGGTGTCCTCCATGGAGCTCTGTCTCTGTTGACTATCGTATTGAATGTGAATTATTGTCTTTCAACAAGACCGTACTGACAGTGGTGGGATTCGAACCCACGCCTCCGAAGAGACTGGAGCCTAAATCCAGCGCCTTAGACCGCTCGGCCACGCTATCGTGTAGCACAGCACGCCCACTGACCTGCTGCAGTGGCAGGTCAGCTACCTCAGCTACATGTAGGCGGGTCAGCTACTTGGTGGGAGGTCAGCTACCTGTAGGCGGGTCAGCTAACCGGGTCCACTTCCTGCCCCCAGGAAGTGGACCCGCCTACAGGTAGCCGACCCGCCACCAGGTAGCGCACCAGGAAGCTGACCCGCCTACATGTAGCTGACCCACCTGTAGGCAGGGTGTGGAGCCGTGTCGCTGTTGAATTTCGTATTGAATGTGAATCATTGTCTTTCAGCAAAACAAGAGTGACAGCGGTGGGATTCAAACCCACGCCTCTGAAGTGACTGGCGCCTTAATCCAGCGCCTTAGACCGCTCGGTGCCGCAGTGGCAGGTCAGCTACATGTAGGCAGGGTGTTTTCCGTGGAGCTCTGTCGCTGTTGACTATGGTATTGAATGTGAATTATTGTCTTTCAACAAGACCGTACTGACAGCGGTGGGATTCGAACCCACGCCTCCGAAGAGACTGGAGCCTTAATCCAGCGCCTTAGACCGCTCGGCCACGCTATCGTGTACCATAGGCCGCCCGCAGACCTGCCGCAGTGGCAGGTCAGCTACCTCAGCTACCTGTAGGTGAGTCAGCTACATGTAGGCAGGTCAGTTACCTGGTGGCGGATCAGCTACATGTAGGCGGGTCAGCTTCCTGGTGCGGTACCTGGTGGCGGGTCAGCTACCTGTAGGCGGGTCCACTTCCTGCGGGCAGGTCAGCTACCTGGTGGCGGGTCAACTACATGTAGGCGGGTCCGCTCAGGTAGCTGACCCGCCACCAGGTAGCGCACCAGGAAGCTGACCCGCCTACATGTAGCTGACCCACCTGTAGGCAGGGTGTCCTCTGTGGAGCCCTGTCGCTGTTGAATTTCGTATTGAATGTGAATCATTGTCTTTCTGCAAAACAAGACTGACAGCGGTGGGATTCGAACCCACGCCTCCGAAGAGACTGGAGCCTTAATCCAGCACCTTAGACCGCTCGGCCACGCTATCGTGTAGCACAGCCCGCCCGCTGACCTGCCGCAGTGGCAGGTCAGCTACCTCAGCTACCTGTAGGTGGGTCCGCTTCCTGGTGACAGGTCAACTACCTGTAGGCAGGTCAGCTTCCTGGTGGCGGGTCAACTACCTGTAGGCGGGTCAGCTAACTGGTGGTGGGTCAAGTACATGTAGGCGGGTCCGCTTCATGGTGGCGGGTCCGCTACCTGGTGGCGGGTCCGCTACCTGTAGGCGTGTCAGCTAACTGGTGGTGGGTCAACTACATGTAGGCGGGTCCGCTTCCTGGTGGCGGGTCCGCTACCTGGTGGCGGGTCAACTACCTGTAGGCGAGTCAGCTACCTGGTGACGGGTCAACTACCTGTAGGCAGGGTGTCCTCCGTGGAGCTGTGTCGCTGTTGAATTTCGTATTGAATGTGAATCATTTTCTTTCAGCAAAACAAGAGTGACAACGGTGGGATTCGAACCCACGCCTCTGAAGTGACTGGCGCCTTAATCCAGCGTCTTAGACCGCTCAGTGCCGCAGTGGCAGGTCAGTTACATGTAGGCAGGGTGTCTTCCGTGGAGCTCTGTCGCTGTTGACTATGGCATTGAATGTGAATTATTGTCTTTCACAAGACCGTACTGACAGCGGTGGGATTCGAACCCAGGCCTCCGAAGAGACTGGAGCCTTAATCCAGCGCCTTAGACCGCTCGGCCACGCTTTCGTGTAGCACAGCCTGCCCACTGACCTGCCGCAGTGGCAGGTCAGCTACCTCAGCTACATGTAGGCGGTCAGCTACTTGGTGGGAGGTCAGCTACATGTAGGCGGATGCGCTTCCTGGTGGCGGGTCAGCTACCTGTAGGCAAGGTGTCCTCCGTGGAGCCGTGTCGCTGTTGAATTTCGTATTGAATGTGAGTTATTGTCTTTCAGCAAAACCCTTCTGACAGAGGTGGGATTCGAACCCACGCCTCCGAAGAGACTGGAGCCTAAATCCAGCGCCTTAGACCGCTCGGCCACGCTATCGTGTAGCATGGGCCACCCGCTGACCTGCCGCAGTGGCAGGTCAGCTACCTCAGCTACCTGTAGGTGAGTCAGCTACATGTAGGCAGGTCAGCTACCTGGTGGCGGGTCAGCTACATGTAGGCGGGTCAGCTTCCTGGTGCGGTACCTGGTGGCGGGTCAGCTACCTGTAGGTGGGTCCACTTCCTGCGGGCAGGTCAGCTACCTGGTGGCGGGTCAACTACATGTAGGTGGGTCCACTTCCTGCGGGCAGGTCAGCTACCTGTAGGCAGGGTGTCCTCCGTGGACACCGCCGTGTCGCTGTTGAATTTCGTATTGAATGTGAATTATTGTCTTTCAGCAAAACCCTTTTGACAGCGGTGGGATTCGAACCCACGCCTTTGAAGTGACTGGCGCCTTAATCCAGCACCTTACACCGCTCGGCCAGGCTATCGTGTAGCACAGCACGCCCACTGACCTGCCGCAGGTCAGCTACCTGTAAGCGGACGCGCTTCCTGGTGGCGGGTCAGCTACCTGTAGGCAGGGTGTCCTCCATGGAGCTCTGTCTCTGTTGACTATCGTATTGAATGTGAATTATTGTCTTTCAACAAGACCGTACTGACAGTGGTGGGATTCGAACCCACGCCTCCGAAGAGACTGGAGCCTAAATCCAGCGCCTTAGACCGCTCGGCCACGCTATCGTGTAGCACAGCAAGCCCACTGACCTGCTGCAGTGGCAGGTCAGCTACCTCAGCTACATGTAGGCGGGTCAGCTACTTGGTGGGAGGTCAGCTACCTGTAGGCGGGTCAGCTAACCGGGTCCACTTCCTGCCCCCAGGAAGTGGACCCGCCTACAGGTAGCCGACCCGCCACCAGGTAGCGCACCAGGAAGCTGACCCGCCTACATGTAGCTGACCCACCTGTAGGCAGGGTGTCCTCTGTGGAGCCGTGTCGCTGTTGAATTTCGTATTGAATGTGAATCATTGTCTTTCAGCAAAACAAGAGTGACAGCGGTGGGATTCAAACCCACGCCTCTGAAGTGACTGGCGCCTTAATCCAGCGCCTTAGACCGCTCGGTGCCGCAGTGGCAGGTCAGCTACATGTAGGCAGGGTGTTTTCCGTGGAGCTCTGTCGCTGTTGACTATGGTATTGAATGTGAATTATTGTCTTTCAACAAGACCGTACTGACAGCGGTGGGATTCGAACCCACGCCTCCGAAGAGACTGGAGCCTTAATCCAGCGCCTTAGACCGCTCGGCCACGCTATCGTGTAGCATGGGCCGCCCGCTGACCTGCCGCAGTGGCAGGTCAGCTACCTCAGCTACCTGTAGGTGAGTCAGCTACATGTAGGCGGGTCAGCTACCTCCAGGTGCGGTACCTGGTGGCGGGTCAGCTACCTGTAGGTGGGTCCACTTCCTGCGGGCAGGTCAGCTACCTGGTGGTGGGTCAACTACATGTAGGCGGGTCCGCTTCCTGCGGGCAGGTCAGCTACCTGGTGGCGGGTCAACTACATGTAGGCGGGTCCGCTTCCTGGTGGCGGGTCAACTACCTGTAGGCAGGGTGTCCTCCGTGGACACCGCCGTGTCGCTGTTGAATTTCGTATTGAATGTGAATTATTGTCTTTCAGCAAAACCCTTTTGACAGCGGTGGGATTCGAACCCACGCCTTTGAAGTGACTGGCGCCTTAATCCGGCACCTTACACCGCTCGGCCACGCTGTCATGTAGCACAGCCCACCCACTGACCTGCCGCAGGTCAGCTACCTGTAAGCGGATGCACTTCCTGGTGGCGGGTCAGCTACCTGTAGGCAGGGTGTCCTCCATGGAGCTCTGTCGCTGTTGACTATCGTGTTGAATGTGAATTATTGTCTTTCAACAAGACCGTACTGACAGCGGTGGGATTCGAACCGACGCCTCCGAAGAGACTGGAGCCTTAATCCAGCGCCTTAGACCGCTCGGTGCCGCAGTGGCATGTCAGCTACATGTAGGCAGGGTGTTTTCCGTGGAGCTCTGTCGCTGTTGACTATGGTATTGAATGTGAATTATTGTCTTTCAACAAGACCGTACTGACAGCGGTGGGATTCGAACCCACGCCTCCGAAGAGACTGGAGCCTTAAAACGCCTTAGACCGCTCGGCCACGCTATCGTGTAGCACAGCCCGCCCACTGACCTGCCGCAGTGGCAGGTGAGCTACCTCAGCCACCTGTAGGTGGGTCCGCTTCCTGGTGACAGGTCAACTACCTGTAGACAGGTCAGCTTCCAGGTGGTGGGTCAAGTACATGTAGGCGGGTCCGCTTCCTGGTGGCGGGTCCACTACCTGGTGGCGGGTCAGCTACCTGTAGGCGGGTCAGCTAACTGGAGGTGGGTCAACTACATGTAGGCGGGTCCGCTTCCTGGTGGCGGGTCCGCTACCTGGTGGCGGGTCAACTACCTGTAGGCAAGTCAGCTACCGGGTGACGGGTCAACTACCTGTAGGCAGGGTGTCCTCCGTGGAGCTCTGTCGCTGTTGACTATCGTATTGAATGTGAATTATTGTCTTTCAACAAGACCGTAGTGACAGCGGTGGGATTCGAACCCACGCCTCCGAAGAGACTGGAGCCTTAATCCAGCGCCTTAGACCGCTCGGCCACGCTATCGTGTAGCACAGCCCGCCCACTGACCTGCTGCAGTGGCAGGTCAGCTACCTCAGCTACATGTAGGCGGGTCAGCTACTTGGTGGGAGATCAGCTACCTGTAGGCGGATCAGCTAACCGGGTCCACTTCCTGGGGGCAGGAAGTGGACCCGCCTACAGGTAGCTGACCCGCCACCAGGTAGCGCACCAGGAAGCTGACCCGCCTACATGTAGCTGACCCACCTGTAGGCAGGGTGTCCTCTGTGGAGCCGTGTCGCTGTTGAATTTCGTATTGAATGTGAATCATTGTCTTTCAGCAAAACAAGAGTGACAGCGGTGGGATTCGAACCCACGCCTCTGAAGTGACTAGCGCCTTAATCCAGCGCCTTAGACCGCTCGGTGCCGCAGTGGCAGGTCAGCTACATGTAGGCAGGGTGTCTTCCGTGGAGCTCTGTCGCTGTTGACTATGGTATTGAACGTGAACTATTGTCTTTCAACAAGACCGTACTGACAGCGGTGGGATTCGAACCCACGCCTCCGAAGAGACTGGAGCCTTAAAACGCCTTAGACCGCTCGGCCACGCTATCGTGTAGCACAGCCCGCCCACTGACCTGCCGCAGTGGCAGGTGAGCTACCTCAGCCACCTGTAGGTGGGTCCGCTTCCTGGTGACAGGTCAACTACCTGTAGACAGGTCAGCTTCCAGGTGGTGGGTCAAGTACATGTAGGCGGGTCCGCTTCCTGGTGGCGGGTCCACTACCTGGTGGCGGGTCAGCTACCTGTAGGCGGGTCAGCTAACTGGAGGTGGGTCAACTACATGTAGGCGGGTCCGCTTCCTGGTGGCGGGTCCGCTACCTGGTGGCGGGTCAACTACCTGTAGGCAAGTCAGCTACCGGGTGACGGGTCAACTACCTGTAGGCAGGGTGTCCTCCATTGAGCTCTGTCGCTGTTGACTATCGTATTGAATGTGAATTATTGTCTTTCAACAAGACCGTAGTGACAGCGGTGGGATTCGAACCCACGCCGCCGAAGAGACTGGAGCCTTAATCCAGCGCCTTAGACCACTCGGCCACGCTATCGTGTAGCACAGCCCGCCCAGTGACCTGCTGCAGTGGCAGGTCAGCTACCTCAGCTACATGTAGGCGGGTCAGCTACTTGGTGGGAGGTCAGCTACCTGGAGGCGGGTCAGCTAACCGGGTCCACTTCCTGCCCCCAGGAAGTGGACCCGCCTACAGGTAGCCGACCCGCCACCAGGTAGCGCACCAGGAAGCTGACCCGCCTACATGTAGCTGACCACCTGTAGGCAGGGTGTCCTCTGTGGAGCCGATGTCGCTGTTGAATTTTCGTATTGAATGTGAATCATTGTCTTTCAGCAAAACAAGAGTGACAGCGGTGGGATTCGAACCCCACACCTCTGAAGTGACTGGCGCCTTAATCCAGCTGCCTTAGACCGCTCGGTGCCGCAGTGCAGGTCAGCTACATGTAGGCAGGGTGTTTTCCGTGGAGCTCTGTCGCTGTTGACTATGGTTTAAATGGTGAATTATTGTCTTTCAACAAGACCGTACTGACAGCGGTGGGATTCGAACCCCACGCCTCCGAAGAGGACTGGAGCCTTAATCCAGCGCCTTAGGACCCGCTCGCACGCTATCGTGTAGCACAGCCCCGCCCACGACCTGCCGCAGTGCAGGTCAGCTACCTCAGCCACCTGTAGGTGGGTCCGCTTCCCCTGGTGACAGGGTCAACTACCTGTAGGCAGGACAGCTTCCAGGTGGTGGGTCAAGTAAATGTAGGCGGCGTCCGCTTCCCTAGGGGCGGGTCCGCTACCTGGTGGCGGGTCGCTACCTGGGTGCGGGTCAGCTAACTGGAGGTGGTCAACTACATGTAGGCGGGTCCGCTTCCTGCTGGGTTCCGCTACCTGTTGGCGGGTCAACTACCTGTAGGTGAGTCAGCTTACCGGGTGAGACGGGTCAACTACCTGTAGGCAGGGTGTCCTCCTGGAGCTCTGTCACTGTTGACTATCGTATTGAATGTGAATTATTGTCTTTCAACAAGACCGTAGTGACAGCGGTGGGATTCGAACCCACGCCTCCGAAGAGACTGGAGCCTTAATCCAGTGCCTTAGACCGCTCGGCCACGCTATCGTGTAGCACAGCCCCCACTGACCTGCTGCAGTGGCAGGTCAGCTACCTCAGCTACATGTAGGCGGGTCAGCTACTTGGTGGGAGGTCAGCTACCTGTAGGCGGATGTGCTTCCTTGGGGCGGGTCAGCTACCTGGTTGGCGGGTCAACTAACTGTAGGCAAGGTGTCCTCCGTGGAGCCGTGTCGCTGTTGAATTTCGTATTGAATGTGAGTTATTGTCTTTCAGCAAAACCCTTCTGACAGCAGTGGGATTCGAACCCACGCCTACGAAGAGACTGAGCCTTAATACAGCGCCTTAGACGGCTCGCCCTATCCTGTAGCACAGCCCACCCACTGACCTGCCGCAGTGGCAGGTCAGCTACCTCAGCTACATGTAGGGGGTCAGCTACTTGGTGGGAGGTCAGCTACCTGTAGGCGGATGCGCTTTCTGGTGGCGGGGTCAGCTACCTGGTGGCGGTCAACTACCTGTAGGCAAGGTGTCCTCGTGAGCCGTGTCGCTGTTGAATTTCGTATTGAATGTGAGTTATTGTCTTTCAGCAAACCCTTCTGACAGCGGTGGGATTCGAACCCACGCCTCCGAAGAGGACTGGAGCCTAAATCCAGCGCCTTAGACCGCTCGGCCACGCTATCGTGTTAGCATGGGCCCGCCCGCTGACCTGCCGCAGTGGCATCAGCTACCT